AACAATATACCCGAACTTTCTTTAGAAAGTGCGGGTATAAAAACCATTTAACTATGAGATGCAAACACAAATTCTACACAAGTTGCTCTAAGACAATGGACAATAATGGCGGGAAAATATTATAGCTGTAGATTGTTTACATTACATTCCGATCATAAAAATAGCCTAATAAGTGAAATTGCCTACTTTCCAGTTTACAATAAGTAAATAAACATATATCTTTATCATTTATAATACATATGAAACTTACTCTGTAGTGGATCGAGCTTATCTAAAGGAATTATTGCTTGCAATGTGCTGTACTTGCAGCCATGTGTGTTTACATACTTTCGAATTAACTCGTACATAAAATCATAGACATCAATAGACAGTTCGAACATAAAATGGTTCCACTACACGGTAACTAATCCTTTCGCGCTGGTCTCTTTAATTCTAGCTTGTAAAATCTCATTAATTTGCAGACGTCTGCATTTTTGCCCTGGTCACAAATTATTTCTTGAACGGAAGTTTGAAATCAATCACTGTTCGTTTTCTTCACTTTTTACCATTATTCTTAAAATAAATACTGTAAAATCGGTATACTTTTAAATAGATCAACATTACATTTCCTAGGCATTAATTGGAATGTTCTTTATCATTGTCTTTAAGGATATCAGCTCCTCAGCAGAAAGATCAATTCTTTACTCTAACAATATTACCACAGATAATTCAATTTTACACCGTCGGATAATTAAGAAATAAACAACAACGTTAAAAAGTTCTCTGGGAAATGAACTTTTAGTTGGTCACGTGATCAAATCCCGTGAAGCCCGAAGGGCTTCTCAGTAGATTTGATCTCGTACCAACTAAAATTTTATTTCCCAGTGAACTTTTTAACATTACTGTTTATTACTTATGTTTACATTTGAGACGAACAGGCGGCTGTATTGCTATGTTGTGAGCACTTGGTCAAAGTTAGTTTATCTCGCTCCAACATTTGAATATTTACATTCATTTTTAGCAGTCCAGTTCAGGAAATACGTGTATATAGGGCCTAATGAAACAATGACCGTCGCTGAGAATAATCTAACTATTTCGTAAGTCCTTACAATATTTGTTTAAGTCAAAAGCGGCGGTATCACCTGTTTTAGTTTACGTAATATTCCATAGGAATATATTTCCAATCTCCTATGCAGAGTTGTTGTTCGTTCCTCTCTCAGACACAAGAAGATTTAGTGAACATCTCGTGATTAAAACTATCCATATTGTTTATCATTTTATCTTTTTCATTGTTATTAACGTAGAAACATTCCAAAACAAGTTGCACCGTGAAATATGTAGGCAAAATATCACATCGCTCTGTGATTCGGTAGCGCTATGACCTCTGACCCCCAAATAACATTCACACAGAATTGAACATATTTTCTCTTCAATAGGTCCATCTAAGAAAGATTATATATAACTAGAAACGATCTCGTTGCAAGCAACGAGTAGGTCTTCCGTCCGATATCTGATGGAATAAGACCTGTGTTTGGATAATTCCATTGATAGGATAAAAAATGTCAAAAAGGCACAAGAATTCTTCAAAATATGTTTAGAAACACAAAAAGAAATGTAGGATCTATCAATTCCAGTCAACTTCCGGTTCTACTTATTCACTTCCGGTGCGACCGTATGTGCTCAAATCTACTTTCAACTCTACATCAAGCATGCAGTAATCATCCCTGAAAGTTTTGATGGAAAATATTCATTTTTAGACAACTTCCGGTTTGAACGAACTGTACTTTCGGTGGAAATATTAAGATGCTACGTATTCTTTAAATCTCTATAATGAACAATTACATTCATCAGAAAATGAAAAAAAAAATCGTTAAACATGTATTTAAACTACATGTACTTCCGGTTTACAACGGAAGTGTCGACGGAAAAAATGAAAAATGAAAAAATTAAAGGTATGCATATTGTTAAAAACATTATTTTGACCATCTTTTGTTCAATATTGCTTATCAAAATATTCACGCTTTTCGAGATATAAAGCGTTAAAGATTTAGCATTCTAGCCCCCTGTGACCCTTTATTACGTAACATATTATCAAATTTTTAATATATATTGTTGCAAATTGTGAACATAAATATCTTTGCTTCAGTAATGTATCACAAAATATTGATCATTAAAGAGTTAAAGGCGAGAGACTTTTGCCCCTCTATGCCCCTAATTTGAAGGGCTAACCCCATTTTCCTAATATCAAATGAAAGGTCTCACTTTATTGCATATCTTTTATTATATATGTCTTAACAAAATATTAACTAGTGCTAATTGTAACGGGGACCGTTACAGATGTTCCCCAAACGCTCCCCAACTCCCTTTTATAGTCATATTCCCTGTAAGCGTAATTAAATAAGACAAAGTTTATGCATTTGAGACTTTAACAACGTTTACCCAGAAGTGTACTATGTTCATTCAAATTTTATCATTGCACACTTGCGTATGTTAATGCATGTGCGTAATGACCATATCATATTCTCTACACAATCTATATGTTTTAATATGCTAAATTTTAAATTATTTAATCCAAAAGTATAAAAAAAAAAAAAACGCTCATTCAAGTGTATTTTTGATTTTACCCATTTCACGTGCACGCACGTGCATACATGAACATGGTGACCATACCTTCTTGTAGAAGTCCATTACATCTATCTATGTTCTAAATCCCACCCCGTTTGGTTGAAAACCAAGGGAGTTATAGCTGTTTAAAGCTTCAGCCAATCAGATTGTAGCGCACGTACACGCACGTGTATGTATGTGCATGGTGACCATAACTTCTTATAGAAGTCCATTATATGTATCTTTGTTCCAAATCCCAACCTGATTGATTGAAAACCAAGGGAGTTATAGCTGTTTTAAGTTTCAGCCAATCAGATTGCAGCATTAGTACACCCACGTGCATGCATGTGCATGGTGACCATACTTTTTTGTAGAAGTCCATTATATATATCTATGTTCCAAATCCCATCCTTTTTGGTTGAAAACCAAGGGAGTTATAGCTATTTAAAATTTCAGCCAATCAGATTGCAGCGCACGTGCATGCACGTGATTTCATGATAATTGTTATTTGTCATTTTGTAGGATACCTTAATGCATGGCTATGTTCAAAATTTCAAAGGATTTCGTCAAAAAACAAGAAAGATATTGAGACTTTAGTTTCAGCCAATCAGAGCGTAGCGCACGTGCATGCGCGTGAGATCTTGCCATATTGACCACGTCATCTTGTTTATACTACTAATACACATCCTTACATTATGAGTTTCAAAACATTTCATCAAAAAATAGAAAAGTTACGGCAATATACATTATATTGGTCATTCACGTGTTGCACGTGCGCGCTCTTGCAAGCACGTGCGCGCAAAATGACCTTCGTTCCGCAAATCTACATAACATGTCTACTGACCCTAAAAACATTTCACCTTAGTTGGATGTGTAGTTTACGAGATCATTCGCGGACAAAAAAGTGCCCAGGAAGAAGAAAAATAATAATAATAAGAAACAGAGTAAAAACAATATGTTCCCCAACTTCGTATGGGGAACATAATAAGTAAAAGGATATAAAAGAAAACGTATCAGTTTTTGCGAGATGCGTATTAGCCTAGTTTTCGAGCCGAGGAGAGCTTCAAATCCTTTTGCGCAGGAAAGATATAGACTCAAAAAAGCAATTTTACTATCCTTCCTCTACCTTCTCTGAAAATCTCAACTCAATACCTTCATTACTTTTTGAGTGATTGCCAGGACAAGCTGACCCTCTGAAAATCAGTAAATCGTCCATATCTCACGACCGGAAGTGACGACGTACATATAAAAAATTTCCAATAAGGTTCAGATCAATATCTACCAGATCTGAAAGTTTCGTGAAAATCGACCGAGCCGTTTCCGAGAACTCGCGTGCACAAAATCAGTAAGAAAAAAAAATAATAATAATAGGGAAAAAGAAACCGAACGAAAACAATAAGGTCTTCCGTTGGAAACGGTAGACCTTAAATATTCCCGCATAACCTAGCGCAGTCTGTTGGATATGCGCCTTTATCGCAGACGAAATTACTATATAACGTTTCTGTTTAATATTAGGCGATCCCCATTAATAATTTCTTATACATTTTACTTTATGTCATTCAAATAAATGACATAATCGACAAAACTGCATATCTGTGTTTGGTTGTTTTTTACTGCACTATCAGGCTGATAACCGTTCACGGTAGCCTAGTGGTAGAGCATTCGCTTCGTGATCGGGAGGCCCGGGTTCGATTCTCGTTCCCGGCGCCGCGTCAAACCTAAGACGTAAAAATAGGTAGTGACTGTTCCTTCGCCAAGCGCTCGGCATCAGAAGTGAAAGTCACTGGTCTTTCGGATATGACCTTAACAACGTAGGTCCCGTGTCACGCTAGGCGCTGGCACGATAAAGAACCCTCACTGCTCAATGGCCCTCAGTGCCGAGTATAGGTCTAAATTTGAAGCCCTTCACCGGCAAACGGTGACGTCTCCATATGAGTGAAAAATTCTCGAGAGGGACGTTAAACAATATACAATCGATCAATCAATCAGGCTGATATTTCTCATAGTAGGCATAAATTGTTTTATTCAAAATGTCTCAAATGAAGATTGAAATTGAATTTTTTTCAGAAACAATAATTTATCTTCATTTTTTTAATCTGTCAAAAGATACCGATGTTTATTGGAAAGATTTGAAATTAGAAGTGATTTACATATATGGTGTCTTGCAATAACATGAAACGCTTAATGCACCATGCATTATAAAATAACTTCATGAAGTAAATAGAAAAAAATAATGTAGTACCGTTAAAGTATAAAATTCTTACATTTTTTCATATGCCTAGATACATATAGGTTTCTTCTAAAATGTTTTTATTGATTAATTATCAATTAGAAATGTCAAATATATGTTTTCATTCGCATTTCCTGTGAAGTTATTTGAGATTTACTGATTTGTCTATAAGTTATTAGTAACTTTAATGATGAAGTGTGATGTAGTTCCGTGGATAAATGAACATTAATATTACTTTAAGAATTCAAAATCAAAAAATTTTTATGAGCATTTTAAATTATTGAGAGCCTGATGTTTGGACTACCCTAAGTGATACATATTGGATTTAGGATTTGAAGTGACATTTTTATGAATGATTTCTTTTCTGTTATGTGATAATTAAATGAAGAATTTATTGTGTAAATACTTTCATAGAAATGTACCTATACAATAATTTTAAAAGAGATTATTTGTAGTGGTATTCCATTCTCTTTGTCGCCTTTTGGAGAAAAAGATACTTGGTTCCTAAATAGCATCAATTGTTATGGAAATATGGAGTCTTTGTTAGAATGTGCAGCATCAGGATCCACACAGTGTAGCTCTGGCAAAGAGGCGGGAGTAATCTGTCTTTCCACAGTAAAAAGTGGGTTAAGGTTTTATGGCCTTTTCAAAAAAATCACTTAATAATTTATTGAATAATCAACGAAAAATATTTATGTGACGTCGCGCACAGAATTGGGAATGATTTTGTAATGTCAAGCTAGTGTCATTCAGACGCTTTTAAATGCTTAAGTTCTATTGTTGAAATACATGTATGCATGTCATGTATATCTGTCATATTGCGAATAATTGGTTCAAATTGTGAATGCCCTGGTTGAGTTAATAAGCGTTCGTCAATATTTATTACCATCCTATTTATCAGTATCGTTTTCATCTCTGGCATCATGCTTCATTGTGAATGGAGAATGTACGTTCAAATTAACGACACAAGTAAATAATAATAGTAAAGTCAAAACAGAAGATTAAAATTGAAATCTTTTTAATAACAATTTTCTTTAAATGCATTTCAATGGATTTTAAGGTTCATTGAAATCTTAGAAAAAGTAAAGTAAAGACTAATTTCAGGTTTGCGAGTGAATTTTCAGCAGAAGCGACAATTGCAATAAAATGTGAACAATTAAAACATGTTCCTACAAAATGATAATTTTTACAGAGACGTAATTTCTTTTTTATTCACACTTCCAGAGATGCATATACATGTAGTACCGCATTGGATGAAAGGAAATAATGAAATATGATACAATTTTGTCTATATAAAATTATACATAAGTAAAATTTATTCAAAATTTTTCACAGGAAAGAAGGTTACATGTATGACTAAAAAAATCCTTAAATACTATCAGGGTCTGTATGTATTTACTCTGAGTTCTAACCATGCATCATACATGTAGTGCAGCATGTCTCTTAGCAACATACCATGCATTTTATAGTTCTCTGGACTTTATTTATGCTTTCGCAGCTAACATTCATGTTTGTTTTAGTTTGTCGGAGATTTTTTTTTTATATTTTCATTTATATGTAGATGTTGACTCTCATTTTTTTTAATTAAGTCTCAATTAGTGTTGCTTATTTGAGCAAGGTATATACTTGTCAAAATTTTTAAGTCCCCAATTTTATTATTTCAAAAATTAAAAAAGAAACTAAAATCAATTTACCTGTTGCATACAGGTTTGTCTTTAATTTCCAATGCTTACCTGTCAAGGCAAAAAATGTAATCGAATGTGTGATTACTCTACCGTGGTCATTTAATGCACGAAGTTCGATTTCCTGATGCTTATCGTCTTTTTTTCATATTTTTTTTAAATATATTGTCGGCAAGGCACAGACAATTTCAGTAAACTCGCTTTCATCTACATCTCAACCCTAAATAGCATGCATATGTAAGGAGAAAATAGACCGTGGAGTGAGGCAGCTTTTCCAGTCGCAAAATCTAATGGAAGAAGGGGACGATCTAGTCAACACATGGAAAAACGTTCAATCACGATTTTTTTCTTTAATAGTGTGCGCTCTTTGAGGAGTGGTTATCTTGTTGTGAATTCGTTTGAATGGAGGACAATGCAGTGTCCAATGTTGCAATTTTTTAATTCTATGGTGCCTTTACATTTCTGCATTTTGTGAGAAAAAGCTTCAATAAAATAATTTTGAGTGAAAAAAAATTGTTCTGCAATTTTTTTCCTGTAAACTTATTAAATAGTCAAAATAATTTAATAAAAAGCGGTGTAAAGCAAAAAAATTACCTGGTGACTTAGAAATTTTAGATTTTTAAAGTAGATTAAGCATATCAATGTACTGAAATATTAATAAGTTGCAAATTAACCGGTGAGGAAGTTTGGCATATTTACATAAGTAAAACATCAGAAAAACTAATTCAGCTTATAAAATACACTTTTCTTATCAAGTCACTTCCTATAAATTTTATCAGCAGTTTTTGTACACCCACCAACCTCAACGAATCAAGGAGGATGTCCTGAAACTAGTTTCTGTGATGTATTTTGTCACAAATAAAAGTGTTCAAACTCATAAAGATGTTTAATATTTATATTTTAAAATTCAAATGCTTAATTTTTATGAGAAGAACAAGGTACAGTTTCTATACAAATCTTGTGATTTTCTTAAAAGTTAGAGCGATGTAAAAATTGGAAACTCGAGCTTTCTGAATTATTCAAATTCCATGCAGAAAAACCATACAAGTCATTTTTCTCACATGCATTTCTAATTAATGCTAATTGTGATGTAATAAGCATATGCATTTTCCCGTATTATTTTAAAAAAGTGCAAAAGACACCAATTTTCAATAGAATTTTCTTCCGAATTATTGTTCACAGGCATCGCCCACAAAGATTTTGAGATATGTGATTTTTCATTGAATGCTTGCACAACAAATTCAAAAACTAAAGTGGGCGACGGCTGTGGACACTATGGAAAAATTACCCTTGAAATGTGTCATTTTTAGGCTTTTTCTATTTAAAATACAGAAGTGCATCAAATTAATGACGTCATATTCCCGAAATGGTCCTCCTTCATGCCATATTCAATTCCGATCTTTCGCAGTCATAGACTCAACTAATGTTCAAGGCAGTTTAAAATCTTTTTGAAACCATTAAAAATTAGGACACAATAAAAACCTAAAACCGTACCTGCTTCTTTTATAAAATAATTAGCTGTTTTCCTGCATAAATCATAAAATTCATTAAACACCTTTGGGATTCCTGAGTATATAAATGAAAAGAGAATAATTATGCATGTTCAATTTATATTTCATGACTAATTTGTATCTGAAGAGGAATCCAGTTACATAAATCACAACAATAAATAACATCTGAATTGTTTTCTCCATTTACTAATCATTAAAGCCAGTTTCATGGAGTGTGGGAGCTGTCCAAAACCTCCTTAGATACTTTTATAATTTTGACTACCCTGTTTTACAACACAACATTTAGATAATCTTCTGCACAGCAGCTTGTAGAAAAAAAAGTTTTATTTGGAACATAAAAAAAAATTGGTTGCAAAGCTTATTCTTTATATGATGAAATTCTGCTTCAAACGATGCATAAAAAACTTCTTTTCGAGTGCTCTGTGTGAATTCTTGACTGCTCTGGAGTAAGGGAGGTAAATGCATCATATCCTAAGAAATAAGGGGATTTAGATCATCAGGCTTTTTTAATGAATCTCAAATAAAAATGGGAAAAAAATCTAACATATTCAAAGGTCCTTCAAGGTATCACACCTGTACTTGACCGATCAAAATGAACCAAATTGTAATTCCATACATATAAAATTGATTTTCCTTTCTTTTGAGATTTCTTTTATTTTTTCCAAGCTATTTTTACAACTTTGATTCCTATGCCTAGTAAATTTTATGAACTTTGTAAATAAATAAAGTTTTTGACAGGTACTATTTCTTTTTAAGAACTTCGGATTCTACTTCCAGGGGGTATACTAAAAGTTGTATATAAACACATAAAAACACGTGGATTCGAGGGTAGCCCTGTTTGCAGATTGAAAAAGTCAGAAAATGCCGTGTAGGTTCCCTGTTTTTTGGTGTCAGCTGATGTATCTAGCAACGTGCAATACTTTCTGCTAAATATTTTTTTTCATGAATTCTAATACCTGATTTTATACGATTTTTTATTCTATATAGAATTATATAGTGAAAATATTACCGGTGTGATACCTTTTAACCGTCATTGCAACAGGGTTCGCCAACACATGATAAGCCACTCCCAATCTACTTGTAGCGTTTGACAATATCTATTACCACCCTATTTATCAGTAGCACTTTCACCGTTTGCATATGGTTGACGTGGCTCAGTTTAAGGATGGTTTCAGTGTATTGATCTTCATGTGTGTGTCTGAATATGATGATTAAACCTAGATATAATAAACTGATGTTCTTTTTACACTTCAAGCGTGTGGGGCAGAATGTACATCAAAGAGACTTTTTTGCTGAATATTTATATATTTCATAGCACTAAACACTGGGGATCTTTTCAAATGAAATATAATTCAGTGCAAAAATGGCATGTGTGCTATATATAATGTTTTATCACAGACCACATATAAAAACAAAAGGGATTTTCATTATTGTTTCCTCTTTATCTATTAAAAAACCAATACTCTGCGCGACGTCAGTTATTTAGTGTGACAGTTTTACTCAGTATTCGATTATTTTGTTCTTGTAAATTGTATTAATATTTGTACATACTGTCGATTTCCAGATGTAACAAGAATAGTAAATGGCAGTTCTCCAGATGAGGGTCTAATGGAGGTTTTGGTAAATGACCAATGGCGAAGTGTATGCAACTATGGATGGAGCAAATATGACGCTGATGTTGCATGTAAAAGTCTAGGATATATAGGGTAATTTTAATTTTCAACTACGAAGCGATTTTTGTCATTGTATTCAATATTAACCCTTTTCAATAAAATCTAAGGCTTTTAATTTGACTTTTTGTAGAGGAATTCCCTTCTCATTGCCGATTTTGAGAGAGGGGAGAGAAGATACCTGGTTCTTAGCTAATTTAAATTGTAACGGAAATGAAGATTCGTTGTTAGAATGTTGGTCAACATTCACCACTTGTAAAAATGGTGAACAGGCGGGAGCTGTTTGTTACCGCGAAGAAAACGGTGAGTTATGCAGATTTTATGCATCCTTAATTTCATGATTCTTTTGAATAATCAATTCAATTTCATGAATGTAAATTAAAATGTAAGATGCCTATGTATAATAAGAAATATTTCGTTCATTTTGTTCTTCCAATTTTTATTTGCACATAATTTGCGATTCCAGATGTAACAAGGATAGTAAATGGCAGTTCTCCAAATGAGGGTGTAGTTGAGGTGTTGATTAATGACCAGTGGCGAAGTGTATGCAACAATCGATGGGACAAGAGGAAAACTGATCCTACATGTAAAATTCTAGGATATTCAGGGTGACGTCTTTTAAAATACTTACAAAATAGTTCTTTAATGTCTAGTTTTATGTTTCTTTTTTTATATTGTATCGCAGCTTTCGTTAAGATGTATTCTTTTGTGTCCTTTTGAATTCAATTCACGTTTACAAGCCTTTTTTTCATAAAATGTCAGCTATAAACATCCAGTTTGTTTTACTTCACCTCTGCTAAAACTGAAGTGATTTTTTTTTATTGAAAAGTGTCCAGAGTTCGTCTGTCTGTTTGCTGAGTGTTGTCCAAAATTTTTCACATTTTCAGTTCCTTTTCAAGAACCACTGGGCAAGTTTCAATTTGCCACAAAACATCCTTGGAAAAAGGTTCCGTCTTTAAAGATTTAGGCAGGAATATGAAGGATTTAGAAAAATAAACTTTGTTTCAAACAGCAATACAATTATTAGCCATTAAAAAAGAGGCGTCCTCAGAAAGGATAATTTCAATTTTATTCAAATCTTGACCATGTAAATAGAGTGTGGCCACAATAGGGATCAATTTAACTATCGAAATATTTCGGAAAATCGTTTAAAAGCTTCTTTTCAAGAACAGGAAAAAAAGGTTTGTCATATGGGTACTTATTTCGCACCGTTATTTACAGACATTTTTTTGTCCCCCTGTTTGGCGAAAGCGAGGGCACATTAAAGCTCATTCGTCTATCCATCTGTCCGTTTGTCCCTCTATCCGTCTGTCCGTCAGTCTGTCTAGCTGTCCGTCCCTCACAAAAACTTTAACCTTGCCCCATAACTTTTGATTAAGTGGAGCTATGACTTTCATATTTCACTTGTGTATTCCTTGTGACAAGACCTTACTTTGGGTACCACCAAATTTGACCTTTTGACGTTGACCTTGGAATTTGACCCACTTTTACACAAAAAATCCGAACTTTAACTTTTGAATGGTAAATGCTAGGACTTTCATATTTCACATTAGTATTCCTTGTGGCAAGACCTTTCATTGGATACCAGAAACCTTGACCTATTGACCTTGACCTTAGAGATTTCTGTACCTGTGAAAACCTTTAACCTTGGCCATAAATTTTGAATGGTAAGAGATAGGGCTTTCAAACTTCACATATGTAATCAATGTGAGAAGACATTCCATTGAATACAATGAACTTTGACCTATTGACCTTGATCTTGGAGTTTGACCTACTTTAAAAAACATACATTGACCATAACTTTTAAAGGGTTGGGACAAGTACTTTCATACTAAATATATTTATTCCTTGTGACATGATCTTTCATTGGCTATCAAAAACTTTGACCCTTTGACTTTGACCTTGAAGTTAGACCTACTTTTTAAGACCTTTAAACTTGGCCATAACTTTTGAACAATATATACTAGGACTTTTATATTTCACACATGCTTTCTTTGTTGCAAGACCTTTCATTGGATATCAACAACTTTGACCTGTTGACATTGACCTTGGAGATTTCTGTACTTGTGAAAAACTTTAACCTTGACCATAACTTTTGAATGGTAAGGGCTTGGGCTATCATACTTCAGATATGTAATTCTTGTGCAAAGACCTTATATTAGATACCATGAACTTTGACCCTTTGACCTTGAAGTTTAACCTACTTTTAAAAAACAAACCTTGACCGTAACTTTTAAAGGGTTTGCGCGAAGGCTTTCATGTTTCAAATGTTTAATCCTTGTGACAGGGCCTTTCATTGGATATCATGAATGACCTTGACCTGTGGGTATTAATTTTTGCATTTAAGAAAGGTTTAATCTATGCTCTGTTGCCATATGGGTCATCAGTGTTTCACAAACTCATCGTGTTCCTTATATTGAGAACAAATATGGCTTTCATATTCGACATGTGCATTACCTGTTACAATACATTTCCAAGCATACTATGATTTGTGACCCATTGACCTTGACCTTCAAGATTGGCCATATTTTTAAAAAAATCAACTTCAGTGATAATTTTTAAATGACATATGATAGGGCGTTCATATTTGAGACAATGTGGCATAAATCTCACCCACAAAGACATTGAAAGCGGAGGACCACGATTCTTTGAATTTGCTTGTATTCAAAAACATTCCACATATAAAGAAGTATCTTACTGTGGCCTTCAGTGCATCATTTAAGGAAGCGGTTTATTAAAAAGGCGTAAACTGTTCCAACTCAGGTTATAGCAGTATAACCGGGGTTGCTATTAAATTCATTTCTTATAAGTAATTTTTTTTCATTAAGTATAGAAAAGAGGACAATTTATCCCTTTAAACGTTTTCAAATTGTTAGTATCTTAATATGTAACGTCAAGAGCCTTGAAGAGGATTGATACGTTTTCGACGCAAGTCATTTTGACCTAATTGTACAATCTAGATTAAATTTTTGTCTTTGAGCTAGAAATTAAAATATACCACGGCGCCAGAAACATCTGTTTCATATTTGGATACTTTTCTTGAAAAGGCCACAACAGGGAATCAAAGTTTAACAAAGGAATATATTGGAAATACTTTTAAAAAATCTTCTCAAGAACAGCTAGGCTGATTTAAGTCATATCAATACAGTTGTATCATCAGATTGTGTAGATTCAATGTTTATCAAATCAGGACACCTAGGCCACGGGATAGGGTGGGACCACAACTGTGGATGAAGGTTAACATAGGATTATATAAGTGTATTGGTTATTACGGGGTATTTGAGTAAACGCATTGAAGACTTCAAATTGTGGAATGACCTCACAAGCCTTGGAATGGATTAGCCTAGGGGTAAATAAGGCAAAGCTTTGGAAAAATCAGGCATTTAGAATGTAGTTGGAAAAGTTATACGTTGAACCAGCAATAAAGAAGTTAAGGTATCCCATCCTGATAGCAAAAGATTCAATGAAAGTGGATACATAACAGATGTGAAAGTATTAAATACTCAGTATATTTAGGCATAATTCCCAATTATTCCTATTATTAGCATGTAAGGGTGGGATGTATCCTAGTTTATGACATTGAAGTTTGGTAAGAGTGATATTCTTCTTTTTAATTAATAAAAATCAATTTTAAAAAACCATATCCGGTAAAAATATCGTTTTCAATTGTCATTCTATTTCTAGTGAATTTTAGTGCATTTTTCTACTACAGTACATATTGATATTCTATGAATTTTTATTTTTAAAAAAATTTCTCTATTCTGTATACATGTACACTTCAATATAATATTTGTTAAGTATTTACTGCTAAGTCGATTACATATTTGAAACTTTCTCTTGGTTAATCCCATTTTACTGCAAAATGCTTTAAATTAATATCAGAGTATTATGTATGTGATGGACATTTCAGGATGGAGGTTGCAAAAATTAATAGATAAAGCAAAATAGAAGTATAACAGTTATAAAGACCAGTGGCAAGTATCCTGGGAAATTGATGTTTATCTCTGGATGTAGTAAACTGGAGAGGATTGAGAAAACTGGGAATTATTATCTATGAATGGGAACATAGGGTAGAAACACGGAGCAAGTAGTAACTTACCCTGGTCCCATCTCTAAATCAGAGGAAATTAAAGTACAGTGTGATATACCCTCAGATAGAGCTGTCTTAACAATCATTCCAATCATTAAGTCAGAGTAAAATGAAAACCTGTATACATGTACGAGGGTTGTCCCAAAAAGTCGTAGACAATGTTTATAACTTTTTAAACATGCAACCAATGCAAACCAAATTTTGCGTAGGCATGATATATTCAATGTTTTTTAAAATTGTGGATACTTAAATATATCTCTTTCATATTTATAATATTAGAATATATGTATATTTATATAAACGCCGATAAGGTTTGTCGGCGCACAAACAAAATTCGGAATAATTTTAGTATATAACTATTACATTTGCTTTTATTTCTTTAGTACTACGAAAAACATTAAACTCAAATTTAGATCAGTGAAACCCGAATCAAAATCTTAATGATATGTCAAAATTTCATATTGATAGCATTAGAAACAGACGATTGGTGTCATGATTTTCAAAGTGTTGTTGGAATTGAGTTTGATGAAAATGACGTCGTCAAACGCGTAACCGGCGCAAGGAGATGTGATAAATTGTTTTGGACATGGTTTATATACATCAAAGACGAGAAAAAAGAGTACAGAATTGAAATTACACACTAGATTTTAATACAGAAGTAATTTTTTATGGCATGAAATTAAATGAGAGTTATACCGAAAAAATATTTACAGTGTGTAAGAATCTGAATACTGTTTGCTAAACGCAGACAATGGGGAACAATGTGGGCCACGAACGACGTCAAACAATGTGTATTCTTTGATGCCTACAGTGTAAGGCTATCTTTCGACTAAAGTTCAACTAAAATTTGAATCTGCTTTAAAAAAAAAAAAAAACAACAAAAACAAACGAAAAAACGGAGAGTAGTAAATTTAAATATCCCTTAGTCAAGAGTGATCTTTCATTTAAAAAAAACATTGATTGTTAACAGACGCTTGTGAAGCAGAAAAAAGATATCATGACGTTATAAGGGACGTAAATTACGGGGGGCATTTCAAAAGTTCTGGCAACTGTTTAATAAAATATTAACCGTTTTACGGAAATTATTGAGTTTTATATCATTGGAAAGATCAGAAAAATATACACATATTGTGACGTCACTTTATAATTTTTATGACGTTATAACTCCGAAAATGACGTCAGAATATAGAATGTTTAGCATACTGACCATAAAAGTGACGTAACAAAAGACACAATTTGATCAAATTAAAATTTTCAAGACAACTTTTGCTCATTACTCGGATGCAAGTTAACGGACACAAATGCCAGTTGGTGGAATGTTTATATAGACTACAATCTATCATATGGCATTTTCTTTTGAAGATCTTCTTGTTCTAAATAGGTTTTAGCGAGTGACAAAATTAGCATTGTTTTATCGAATCTCGCTCAAACATTTGCGTAAAAGAGACCTAAATGTGAGAAAAAGACAAAGTTGACAATCAAAGAAAAATAGGCGATCGTGTTACAAAATTCGATGGCATAAATTCGTCAGGTGTTTTAAACAAATTTGTGGGATCGATGAAGGCTCAGGAGAAGTTAAGTTTAGAGTGCCCCAAATTTTCTCGTAAAATCCAAAATGGCGGCAGCGCTGTTGTAACCCCACCGTACCTCCACACATTCGCAAATTTTAATGCATGGAAAATAAATAAGACTTTACATGTCTGAGTAACTTATATCCATTTTTGGATTCAAAATTAAGTCAAAAGCAGTGGTGAGTTTTGGGGCGCCGAAGTTGAATTTATATGAAAAAATACGCACAGAATGCAGTCGAGGACAAGATTTAGTACATTTTATTTGTAAACGGTAAGAGTCCTGTTACTCAAAATATATTTGATGAAAACTGCATTAATATACTTCAGTTTAGTATAGAACATGTTTTAATTCAAACAATGGAGAGCTATATAAAAGACCGAAAATCCAGCCGAATAATGTAAATAAAAATCTGAAATGAATGTCTTTGATAGCATAACCGGACATAAACTGTGCTCGTAAACAAACCATACAATGAATAATGGAATTGCTGATAAACAGTATCATAGTCCTATTCTACCTCTTTGCATATCAAAAATTTCTTTAAAATATTTTTTCAAATAAGCCTTTGACAGAACTTTTACGATCGTCTCATGTGGATAAAAACGCGACTTTTCAGTTTGCTAAACATTCTATATTCTGACGTCATTTTCGGAGTTATTACGTCATAAAAATTACAAAGTAACGTCACAATATGTGTATATTTTTCTGATCTTTCTAATGATGTCAAACTCAATAATTTCCGTAAAATCGTCAATCTTTTATTAAACAGTTGCCAGAACTTTTGAAACGCCCCACGTACGTTTGCTTTCGTGCGCCGATGTACACATACATGCTTTCTTTATTTTTTCAGAATTTTCTTATTAAATGTGATGTCATCATGAAATTTGAAATGCATGATCATAAAATGTTACTTTTTGCTATGACAAGGAAAGAAATTTAATTTAGCAAAGAGAAACAAAACTGTTTTCCCTGTCTACGACTTTTTGGGACAACCCTCGTATATACATTGTAAGAACCTCATTATACACGTTACATAGGAAATATCTTTGATATATTCTTCTCAAGAACAAGTAAGCCGTTATCAATAATGTGTATACAGAAGCAGCCTTTATGTGTTAGGTATCGTAGAATCAAGTTTGTTCATGCAAATTATGATACTCCCGGGGTTGGGCCACAATAGAGGGTCAAAGCTTTGCGTGAGAATATGAAGAAATCGTCTTGAACAAATCTTCTACTCAAGAACAGCAAAGCAAGTCATGTTATAAAAGAAGCATCGTCTGGTAGTGTAGATTCAAATGTATTCAATTTCAGGGTTGGTAGGGTTGGGTCACAGGGAGCAATCAGAGTTTTACATGGAAATACTTAGGGAAAAAGCATAGAGATTTTTCTATTTAAGAACAGCAAAGTCAAGATTAGTAATATTGATGAAGAAGCATCCGGAGCTAGTGTAAATTTTCCCCTCCCCCGTTTAAACGTTTTGATACTGAAATGATTTCTGCTTCATAGACAATGTGCTTAGGTGAGCGATGGGGCCCATGAGCCTCTTTTTACATATAAACATGACTGTTGTCGTATGTATTGTAGTGGGTTTCCGGTTTCGTCGACGCTATTTGTAGAGGATAAGGAAGAAATGTGGATGTTGGACGTGTCGTATTGTAGTGGAAACGTCAAATCTTCATTAAAGTGTTCATTATCACTTATTCGATCCAGCAGCTGTCATGGCGGAAAGGCAGGGGTCGTTTGCTACCATGCAGAGAATGGTACTTTTGAAAAAAATTTCAAATAATTTGCTACCAATGAAGTGCAACCTTTAATACGCAAGTTTCGAGATTATCTCCTTTGGTGTACTCTTTCGTTGAGGAGTGGAGTTTCGTTGCCGGTAAACAGACGTGTGGGATAGATATTTATGTATTGGACATATTGCATCATCTATATACTGGTTTATCACAAGTACATGATTTTCAGGATGTACTCTTTAACTCTAAAATAACTGAAGTAATGTAAAGGCGTCATTTTTTATCGCCGATATATGGCCGACTCGGCGTGAAAAATAAATCAATCGATCATTTTTTTTTAAACGAAAAAATCGTAACGAAAGACAATATCAATGGATGTAAGATTTTTTCAGACGAGGGAAGAGATATGGATTTCTAATACACATTTATCTAGTCATTACAGGGTGGTACGAAAGCCATGAAGGGACATAGGATTTCTAAAAAATGTATAAAAGTAAACCGAATTCTCGAATTTTACAATCTGTTCTCTCGGATTGACAATCTGTTATAACGAATTGCCAATTCGTTTTCACAGATTATCAATTCGTTCCCTCAAATTACACAATCCGTTATCTCGGATTGTAATTCATTCTCTCAGTTTAAACAACGTTCTCTCGGAATGTAAACCATTCCCATGATTTCATTAATATTATATATCTGTACATAATATCTGATATGAATAGAATATTGTAGTAGTTTACATTCTACCTTTTACGAAAGCCATGAAGGGACACGTTGATTTTTCAAAAAAGTAAAAATTAATTCGAGATCTCGAATTACACAATCCGTTCTCTCAAATTACGCAATCCGTTATCTCAGATTGTAATCCGTTCTCTCGGTTTAAACAATTCGTTCCCTCGGAATGTAAATTGATCCCACGAATTAATTATTCGTTCTCTCAGATTATCAATTCGTTCCCTCAAAATATACAATCCGATATCTCAGATTATCAATTCGTTCCCTCAAAATATACAATCCGATATCTCAGATTGTAATCCGTTCTCTCGGTTTAAACAATTCGTTCCCTCGGAATGTAAATTGATCCCACGAATTAATTATTCGTTCTCTCAGATTATCAATTCGTTCCCTCAAAATATACAATCCGATATCTCAGATTATCAATTCGTTCCCTCAAAATATACAATCCGATATCTCAGATTGTAATCCGTTCTCTCGGTGTAAACAATTCGTTCCCTCGGAATGTAAATTGATCCCACGAATTAATTATTCGTTCTCTCAGATTATCAATTCGTTCCCTCAAAATATACAATCCGATATCTCAGATTGTAATCCGTTCTCTCGGTTTAAACAATTCGTTCCCACGGAATGAAAATCGTTCCCACGAATTAATTATTCGTTCTCTCAGATTATCAATTCGTTCCCTCAAAATATACAATCCGTTATCTCAGATTGTAATCCGTTCTCTCTGTTTAAACAATTCGTTCCCTCAGAATCTTAATCGTTCCCACGAATTGATCATTTGTTTCCACAGATCTCCATTTTACTTGATGCGCCATTTTGCGCTGGTCTTCTGCACGAGTGCCAGGTCCAAAACAAAGGTACGTATCCGTTGGATGCATTATTTATTCACAGTATAGAGTACGTGAAAGAGTTAGGTTTCACAGTTTCCGATAAGCATTTGAAACATTCTGGGTTTTTAACCTCATACCTTAGTTTTTCACATTAAATCGGGAAAACCGGTGTGTACATGCATATAATTAGTTATTATGTTCCCCAAACGGAGTTTGGGAACATATTGTTTTTACTCGGTTTCTTATTATGTTCCCCAAACGAAGTTGGGGAACATATTGTTTTTACTCTGTTTCTTATTATTATTATTCTTATTATTATTATTATTATTTTTCTTCCTGGGAAAATCTTTTCCGCGAGTGATCTTGTAAACTACACATCCGACTTAGGTGAAACCTTTTTAGGGTAAGTAGGCATGTTATGTAGATTTGCGGAATCAAGGTCATTTTGCGCGCACGTGCTTGCAAGAGCGCGCACGTGCAAAACTTAAAATGACCAATATATAATGGATATAACCGAAACTTTTCTATTTTGTGACGAAATGTTTTGAAACTTATAATGTAAGGATATATTAGTAGTATGCACAAGATGACATGGTCAAAATAGCAAGATCGCACGCGCATGCACGTGCACTTCGCTTTGATTGGCTGAAACTAAAGTCTCAATATCTTTTTTGTTTTTTGATAAAATCATTTGAAATTTTGAACATAGTCATACATTAGGGAGATCTACAGCCTGTAATATAAGATTTATTATGAAAGCATGTGCATGCACATGTGCTTGCAAGAGCTCGCACGTGCAACGCGAGAAATGTCCAATATAATTGATACAGACGTAACTATTTAAATTATTGATGAAATGCTTTGAAATTCATATTATAAATATATATTAGAAGGATAGACAAATTGACATGGTCAAAAAAGTAAGATCTCACGCGCATGCACGTGTGCTTTGCTCTGATTGGCTGAAACTAAAGTCTCAATATCTTTCTTGTTTCTTGTCATAATCCTTTGAAATTTTGAACATAGACCTACATTATGAAGATCTACAGCGTGATATATAAGAATTTTCATGAAAGCATGCGCATGCCCGCGTGCTGCAATCTGATTGGCTGAAACTTTAAATGGCTATATCTCCTTTGTTTTTTGACGAAATGCTTTGTAATTTAAAACATAGTCATGCATTAGGATATACTACAATATGATGTAGAAAAAAATAATGAAATCACGCGCATGCACGTGTGCTGCAATCTGATTGGCTTAAACTTGAAATGGCTATAACTCCCTTGTTTTTCAACCAAACAGGATGGGATTTAGAATATAGATAGATATAAGGTACTCCTACAAGAAGGTATGCTCATCATGCACGTGCACACACGTGCATGCATTTGGAACGAGTGAAATGAAAAATACGTTTGAAAGAGTGATTTTTCATACTTTGGACTGAATGCTTTAATATATTGTATATTAAGATATGTACATAGTGTAGACAAGATGATATGATCATAACGCACATGCATTCACATGCGCACGGGTGCAATACTAAAATTTGAATATAATTGGTATCCTTCTGAGAAAACGTTGTTAAAGTCAAAAATGCACAGAGTTTGTCTTATTTAATGAAGCTTACAGGGAATATTGCACCAAAAAGGAGTTGGGGAGCGTTTGGGGAACATCTGTAACGGTTCCCGTTACAATTAGCACTAGTTATTAAGGTCTTCCGACTTCAGCGGAAGACCTTCTAGTGATTCTACTGTTTCTTATTATTATTATTATTATTATTATTCTTATTTTTTTCCCCAAAATTTTGTGCAGGCGATTTCTCGAAAACTATTCGGTGGTTTTCAATGAAACTTTCAGGAATCATGCGTCATTATATGAACTTTGTTCATCAGAAGGAAAATTTGGAATACTCACCTTCGGTTCCAAGTTATGGACAGTTTTCTGATTTTAAAATGGATTTTTGTCCCCCCTTTTTTACGAAAACGGTCTAAGATATTAACTGGAGACTTGTTAGAGATGATAGATGATGACTTTTAGATATGTGAAATCACCTTTTCGTGTGTCGTCAGTACTTCCGGTCGCTAGCGGAAGCGAATTAAAAAAGTCCGTATTTTGTAACTTTTTTGTTTTTCAATATTTTTCATTTATTTTTGGAATGTTAATAGAGACCGTTCTTATAATGCTTACTATATAATTTGTTTGAACATTGATAAATCCAAACTCTAGATATTAGCATTTAAAAATCTGAAGCGGGCCCAATATGGCGGCTGTCTATGTCAACTCCGACATTTCGCAATAGGGGTTTTCAGAGGCAGCCAAGCGTTTGCTTGAACGAAAGTAAATAAGGATAAATGAAATGTAAAGGAATACGGGGATTGTCACGATGAAGTTACGTTGCAATTCTGTGTCAAACTAAGTTTAAATCCATGGTCGTCTCAAACGTCTTCAATAATTTGTTTCGGCTGGTTCTCAAAGTAGAAAAAGAAAAGACTAAATGTGCAAATGAAATACATACCTACTATCATTTGTTTTGCGGAAAAACAGATCTTAAATCATAGTTACAAATAATAGTTTTAAGAAACAATATCGATGTATATATAGTTAGTATTAAGCGTATCAATTGTTTTGCACATGCACACTTGAGTCACATTAAACTGATAGGAAAGACAAACATAAGAAAAGATTTTTTTGAAGAATTGAGTTTATATTAATATTCTTGTCTCAAAGATATGATTTAAGTTATTGAACATAAATGGTATCTGATTCCTTTACCGTCTTAGGGCGACACATGTTTTTCGGCGAAACATTTTAACCTTTTCATGAAAGTTTAACTAATCGAGATAGTTCAGTATGGGGATAAACAAGAAATTTAAAAAAGTAAAAAATTATAGCAGTTTCATTGATTTAGTGTTACTTATCTATTTACGTCATAGAATTTGTAAATGTGTTACAAACAATTTCTTTACCTTGAAAGTTTAGCTATAAGAACGTTCTTTTTTATTTACATTGAAGCTATCACACCTATTTAATGGGACATTCCAAAGAAAAGGCGCGAAGATTCACGCGTGGCGTTTGGCGCTAAATTTTGAAAAGTAACCCGCCTTTCATTATTCTAAGACAGATGTACTGTTTCAGAAGTATATACAAGTAGATTTAGAGCTGTGGTCCCAATAGCATAATTGTAAGCGCTTTGGATTTTCATGCTGGCGACCCGGGTTCAATCCCCTTTCTTTCCATAAAAAAGTTTTATCACTTTTTCAGCTCGATTTTGCTGTGGGGGGGGGGGGGGTTCAGAATCGGACGGAAGACCTCTCGTTGCTCGCAACGAGTTTCTTTTCTAGTTATTATGTTCCCCAAACGTAGTTGGGGAACATATTGTTTTTACTCTGTTTCTTATTATTATTATTATTTTTCTTCTTCCTGGGTACTTATTTGTCCGGGAGTGATCTTGTAAACTACACATCCAACTCAGGTAAAATCTTTTTAGGGTTAGTAGGCATGTTATGTAGATTTGCGGAACGAAGGTCATTTTGCGCGCACGTGCTTGCAAGAGCGTGCACGTGCAACATGTGAAATGACCGATTTAATTGATATAGGCGTATCTTTTTACATTTTTGATGAAATGCTTTGAAACTCATGATATAAGGATATATTAGTAGCAGAGGCAATATGGCATGGTCAATATCGCAAGATCTCACGCGCA